AGTAGGTGGCGTTGTCTATTCCTAGCTTGAGCCTCTGTATTCAGGGTGGTGGGTATAGCCATTGTGAAAGGAAATGAGCTTCCACTTGTATCTTCCCTACTCTAGTCTCTGAGGTGGAAACCAGATGCCTGTACAATTGTTTTTTGCGTTGATAGCTACAACCCCCGAAAGCTTGTAGGAAATATTTTGAGTTATCACAGCTAAGGGTGGGGGAGTTGGAAACCGGGTACCTGGATCAGCCGCAGAACTGTGCTGGTAGCCACATCCCCTTTGATGGGTTTTAAGGGTTGATGGGCTTCCTCTGGACTAGCACACGGGGCGGGGCCAGGCTTCCTCCTCTGGTCTGGCTTGGCTGGCCCCAGGCTGCTTCCTCCTCCGGTCAAGAATATATTCTTTTAAGAAAACTCTTTGATTCAAAGATCTTTCCACCAAGCTTTTTTCTTTTTTGTCCTGTATGTTTTCACTTCTATATGTTTTCCTGAGTTTTCAGTCACTATTTCTACTTATGACTACTGGCTTCCAGGCCCATTTCCAACTGCCTATTGACCTTTTTCAGGATGTTCCATCTTTCTTCTCAAATAAATATCTCTTCTTACACATTCTATATGATTAATAGTTCTACCAACATTTTCAGCCATTCTTTTACCTTATTTATTCTCCTTTCTTCCCCCCTTCCTAGCCTAAGCACATTTCCAYGAACTTATTACCTTTCAGCACACTTCTTTTTTTTTTATTAGTTGCTCAAGACAATACAATGATCTTGACATATCATACATTTGATTMAAATGGGGTATGAAATGAGAAATCAGCACACTTCTTTATCTTTGAGTTTCTGATGAGTAATTTAACCTTTTTTTCATTTCATATTTGTGTGTTATGTATTATTCAAGGAAGAGGTGAACAATTAATCTTTGGTATTTCCATTACTTTATTCCCCAGAGAAGACCAGATTTCTTCTGTAACTTTTATTCTGTATTTTCACCCATTATTTTTCTTTAATATCATTTATTTTCTTCTGTTTTTCTACTACTCATACATGGTCTTTATTCTATGACTCATTGTTCCCTTAATTTCTTCAGTCCTCCGAGGATCATATGGAAAGGAAAGGGTAAGGGGATGGGGCTGCTGAGTATTGTAACTCTGAAGCTGTGTTCTGAATGACTAAAAAGCATTAAGCTCTGTAGAGAACCTACATCTGTGTCTCCTTTAGGAATTCCGGAGGAGAAGGGCAGAAGGAGAGGGGCCTGTTTGCATAAGACAGAAACTGTCTGTGTTTTGATAAATGTGTAAGAATAAATCTTAACAGGCAGTTTCCCAAAAAGTGAACAGTTGGAGATAGTATGGAGAATGTAATTAACCTCATGGTCAGAAGGTGTGTATTTTAATGCTAGCTTTGCCTCTGGGTGACTGACCTTAAATAAGTCACTCCGACCTCTTTGTTCTACTGATTGCTTATTTGCAAAATGAGCAGTTATAATAGGTGAAAATTATAAGGCCTTCCTTGGTTCTGAAATATGGATTCCAATATAACTAACTAGTATGCATTTTTTTAAAAGCCTAATTTTTAAAATCTATGTGAAGACAAACTACTGGTTTTATTTTTCCTTTCTTGAAAACCAATAATTTTTGGAAMATTCAAGGGGATTTATTTAAATATAATTGCTTTTAAATAATGTTTTATGGTAGACTTAATCTGCAATGAGCACATTTTAATTTTGTATGGGACTCACATATTTCTACTAACCATTTACTAACTTTGATAGCCATTCTTTCACCCAAAATAATCTCTGAAGAGAACTAGTCATGCATTTGCTATTAATAAAAAATGGCTTGTTTATTATTTCCCATGTTATATTTTATATATAGAAAAAAATTATTTCCATAAAGTAATATCCTCCATTCTAGCTTTGTAAGTATTTATTAGCTGCATGGGTACTAATATTTTTTTTCCAGAGAGTATTTCAGTGAGTGAAAGAGATTACTTATTCATTTTCTTTGTTACTCATTTTTACTTCTTTCATTATTTAGGATCTTATTGAAAGTTTTCTTCTTTTTCATATGTTTTCGTGTTACAAAATGTCTTGTTTCCAATGTATATTTAGTTTATCAGAGATATTCATGTATGTATACTRAAGTAAGTATTTAGCTAAACTAAAATATTAGAACTAAGTGAAGCCAGGTGCAAGGCAGGAAGATTGCAAGTTTGAGCAACTTAGTGAGACCTTTAGCAACTTAGTAAGACCATATCTCAAAATAAAAAATAAAAAGGACTGGGAATGTAGATCAGTAGTAAAGTATCCTGGGTTTAATCCCCAGAAGCAAAAAGGAAAAAACTAAGTTAAATCACTAATTGCAACTTTATGTGGTAATTACTCAGTTTTTGAAATAAAAGGTGTCAAAATATTATTGTTTATAATTTTATAATAGTATTATAAAAATATATAATAAATGGGAAAATTTTGATCTTATGCCTAAAGACCAGGTGATTTTGACTAAGAATTGTTTGATAAATTAGGCCACATAAATTGCTTAGAATTGCTATTTGTAAGACCTCAAAATCAATAAATAGTTGAACTACGATTTTAATATACTTGTTTATTTTATCTGACATTATGTTTCTAAGTTATTTCTTACAAAAATAAAGATAGCCATTGAAATTCTGAGAAATAACTACTCAATGTAATTATCAACATCATACATATATCTATGATAGGTTACTCTCTCARTAACATTTAAAATAATCTTAAGTTCAGGCTGAAGGTGTAGCTCATTGGTGGAGCAAGTGGAGGCACTGGGTTTGACCCTAGCACCACATAAGAACAAATAAAGGCATTGAGTCCATATACAACTCAAAAAAAAWTTTTAAAATAAGCCAAATTCATATAACATTCTTCTACAAATTTTTATTTTTAGATCAAAGAAAGCAAAGAATTCAATTGATAAATCAACTGAGACTGACAATGGCTATGTATCTCTTGATGGAAAAAAGACTGTTAAAAGCAGTGAAGATGGAATGCAAAACCATGAACCTCAGTGTGAAACTATTAAACCAGAAGAGGCAGCCTGGATCACAGGAACTGTGAGGAATGTTCCCAGCAAAGTAAGTGTAATTTTTAAAATACCYTTGTGTGATTTTATATTAGCCAATATGAAATGATTTAGATATGGTAGTTGCCTTTGAACTAAACGTTTTCTCCAGAATTTATATTATGAGGCTGTATAAATAGTACTGATGAAACTAAAATTAGATAAGTACTATGATTAAACTTAATTGCCAATATAACTTATACCTTCTGAACTGATTTTTGATGGCTTGAATTTTTCCAAAATGTTAAAGCACTTTATAGTTGCTATCTGTTAAACCTTACTTTCTCTTTCTTTATTTCCATATATGTATAAGAATTTGCATTAAGCTGAATATCTAAATTATTCTGAAAGCTGAACTACAACAGTTTCTTTCATATTTTCTATAAAAATATCTTGTTTATCCTACATTTATTACTTTTGATGTCATATCTGTTTTGTATTTAATCGGAAAAAAATACCTTTTCATTTAAAATTGGCACATAATGATTATACATATTTATGGAGTATAGGGTGATTTTTAGTACATGTATACAATTTGTAATCATCACATCCGGGTCATTGTCATGTATATCACCTCAAACATTTACCATTTCTTTTTGTTGGGAACATTCAAAGTGCTTTCTACTCTCTGTTTTGAAATATTCAATTAACTGTTGTCAACCATATTTATTCTACTGTGCTGTAGAAAATAAGAAGTTATTCCTCCTATCTAACTGTATCCCTGTGCCCTTCAACCATCCTCTCTACATCCCCACTTTTTCCTCTTTCCCTATTACCAGGCTCTGGTAACCACTATTTTCTACTTCTACTTCTCTACTTCTACAAGATAAACTTTTTTAGTTAAGTAAAAGTGTACGATATTTATCTTTTCTGTGCTTGATTTACTTCACTTAACATAATGTCCTCCAGTTCCATTCATGTTGTAGCAAATGAAAGAATTTTTCTTATGGCAGAATAATATTTTATTTGTRTATATATTTTCTTTCATCTGTTAACACCTCAGTTGATTTCATGTCTTGGCTGTTGTGAATAGTGTTGCAGTAAATATCTGAGTGCAGTTATTTCCTTACCATACTCACTTCATTTCATCAATAGTATGATTGCTGGATCATAAAGCAGTTCTATTTTTTTAAGAAACTTCAATAAGGTTCTCCATAATAGATGTCTTAATTTATATTCCCACCAATAGTGTATGAGAGTTCTCCTTTTTTCATATCCATATCAGCATTTGTAATGTTTTATATTTAGGGATTTTAAGTGGGGTGTGGTAGAATCTCATTGTAGTTTAGATGTGGACACTATACCTCTCTTTTATTTGTTTATTTTTATGTGGTGCTGAGTATCAAACCCAGTGCTTCATACATGCTAGGCAAGTGCTCTACCACTGAGCTGCAACACCAGCCCTCATTGTAGTTTTGATTTGTATTTCTTTGACATTTAGTGATGTTGAACATTTTTTAATATATTTATTGGCCCTTTGTATATTTTCTTCTGAAAGTTTATGTCCTTTGCCCACTTCTTAATTGTATTATTTGGTTTTATTGCTGTTGAGTTTTTTTGGGGGGGTTGTTATTCCTTATATATTCTGTATATTAGACCCTTGTTGCATGAATAGTTTACAAATATTTTCTTCCATTATGTAAGTTGTATCTTAAACTCTGTTAATTATTTCCTTTGATGTGCAGAAATAATTTAGTTTGATATAATCCTCTTTGTCACCTTTTTTTTTTTTGCCTTTGCTTTTGGGGTTATATCAAAAAATCTCTGCCTAGACAAATATCCTAAAGCATCACCCCTGGTTTTCCAGGATTTTCTAACAGTAACTTCATGGTTTGGGGTCTGACATTTAAGTCTTTCTTCCATTTTGAGTTCATTTTGGTTCATGATGAGAAATAGGGGTCTAATTTAATTCTTCTGTGTATGGATATCCAGTTTTCTCACCATCATTTACTGAAGAGACTTTCCTTTCTTCAGTATATTCAGTATCTTTGTCAAAAATCAGTTGTGTATAAATATTTGGATTTATTTCTATGTTCTTTATTATGTTCCTTTGGTCTGTTTGTCTGTGTTTTAGGCCAGTACCATAATGGTTTTGGTTACTATAGCTTTGTAGTGTGTTTTGAAGCCAGGAATTATGATATCTCTAGTCTTGTTCTTTTTGCTCAGGATTGCTTTGACTCTTCAGGGTCTTTTGTGATTCCATACAAATTTAAGTAGTGTTTTTTTGTAGTTTTGTGCAGAATGTGATTGCTATAGGGAATTGCCTTCAATCTGTAGATCACTTTGGTGATGAACATGGTATGCCTTCTGTTTTTAATTTCTTTCATCAATGATTTGTAATTTTCATTTAAATATAATTTGCTTTATTGGTTTAATTTCTTGGGCTTTTACTTTTTATTTTTTGTAATTGTTGTGAGTGGGATTACTTTCTTGATTTCTTTCTCAGTAATTATGCTATTGGTATATTAAAATACTACTGAATTTTGTATTTTTTTTTAATATCCTGTTACCTTACTGAATGTATCAGTTCTAGCAGGGTTTTTTTTTTTTTATGTTGTTTGCAATTGGGATAATTTGACTTCCTCCTTTTTCATATGGATGCCTTTTATTTCTTTCTCTTGCCTTATTGCCGCAGTCCGGCTGCAGCAAAATAACCAGAGGGTGACAAGGAACTTGTGTAGATTGATACAGCAGGAGTGGGAGCCGTTTATTGTAGGACAGGAGGGGTATATATACATTCCACACAGCTTATCTTAATTAACATAAACTAGATACAACCAATAAGGAATCTCCACACTTAATGGCTCGCTGGCGTTACTTCACAAACCACTCCCTCTGGCAAAATGCCAGGCGCCATCTTCACTTGTTTACAGACCTTAACACCTTGTTGCTCTGATTAAGTACTTTCAGTATTATATTGAATAAGATTTTCAGTGCTGCATTAAATAAGAATGGTAAATATAAATATTCTTGTCTTATTGTTCTGATCTTAGAGGAAACAATTTCAGCTTTTCCCATTCACTAGGGTGTTGGCTGTGAGAGTGTGAGTGCGTTTGTGTGTGTGTGTGTGTGTGTGTGTGTATGTGTGTGTGTATAAATCTCCTGTATTGTGTTGAAGTATATTCCTGCTGTGCCTAATATTTTGAGGATTTTTATTATGAAGTTATGTGGAATTCTACCAAATGCTTGTTCTGCACTATTGATGATCATCTGTTTTGTCCTTCATTGTTGATATACTGTATTACATTTATTGATTTACAATTATTAATCCATGCTTGCATCCTTAGGAGAAGACCCACTTGATCATATTGTATAACATTTGGAAGTACTCTAGGATTTGATTTGTTAATAATTTATTGAGGACTTCTACATCTGTGTTTATTATGGAGATTAATCTGTGGTTTTCTTATTGTGTCCTTCTCTGGTTTTGGTATCAGTGCATGAGAAGACAAAAGTGCATCCCCATACCACTGGCAAATATTTTACTTCTTTGTTTACCTTTGAAGGAGCATGATGAACAGAATTATACCATATAACAAGTATGCAACAAAAGATTATAAACAAATTTTAGAACTGAAGAAACAGGGTGCAACGATTATGTGGTGGCTACAATTATGTGGTTAAATAAGTTCTTTATAGAGTCTTTCTTATCTCACTACCCAAGACAGCAAGCTTTCCTAGATACTAACTAGTGTTTACCCCAACTATTATTGTAATAGAATCTATCTTCCTTTTAGATCTAATAGTTATTTGCTTTATATAATTAGGTACTCCAGTGTTGGGCACATATGTATTTACGATTGTTATTTTCTTTTTGTTGAGCTGATCCCTTTATCATTATATGGTGAATTTATTTTTCTCTTTTTATACTTTTTGACAGTCTGTTTTATCTGATAACAGTATAGTTATTCCTGTTCATTTTGGGTGTTCATTTGCATGGTATGTCTTTTTCTATCTTTCTCTTTCCATCGTTGTGTCTTCATTGGTAATGGTGAAGTGAGTTTCATATAGGAAGCATATCTTTATATCTTTTGGTCATTTTAAAAAATCCATTCAGCCAGACTTTTTTTTTAATTGAGAAATTTAATCCACTTACATTCACAGTTAATATTGGCAAGTAAAGACATACTGTAATTTTATTTTTTTCTGGTGGTTTTTTTATCCTTTGTTCCTTTTTTGTATTCATTCTTTGTGGTTTAGTTGTTTTGTGTGTGTGTGTGTGTGTATGTGTGTTGATCATTTGATTTTCTTTCTCTTTTTTTCTCTGTTCTACTAGTGAATTTTGTATTTTCATGTGTTTTTATTATGGTGATAGTTATCATCCTTTAACTTCCGTGTAGAACTCCCTTAAGAATTTCTTGTAGAACTAGTTCCTTAGTTTTTGTTTGTCTTGGAAGATTTTCTTTCTCATTCATTTCTGAAGAATAGCTTTTTTAGATACAGTATTCATGATTAGCAGTTTTTTTCCTTTCAGAACTTGAAATATGTTATACCATTCTCTTCTAGCTTCTTCTGAGAAGTCTGATGTTAGTGGAGTGGAGATTCCATTATGGGAATTGAGCCTTTCTCTATGATTTTTAAAAATTCTCTTATACTTGTAATAGCTTAACTAAAATATGCTTTGAAGTGGATTTTTTTTTGGTTCAATCTATTAGGGGTCCTTTGAGCTTCTTGAACTTGCATATCTGTATATTTTCCAACATTTGGAAAGTTTTCAGCATTTATTTCATTGAACTGGTTTTTCTATACCTTTTCTCACCTCTTTCTGGATCTCTTATAAAGTGAAAATTGGCATGCTCCCCATCAGTCTTGTAGGCTTTTTTCATTCTTCATAATTTTTCTTTTTTGCTTCTCTCTCTCATTTTAAAAGACCTATCTTCAAACTCAGAAATTCTTTATTTGGCTTGCTTTATTCTGCTTTGAAGTTCTCAACTGAATTTTTATTTCCTTTATTGAGTTATTTATCTAAAATTTTGTGGTTTTGATTTTTATCTCTGATGCATTTTTTCTTATGAATTGTCTTCCTTATTTCATTGAATTGACTATGTTCACTTGTATCAATTGGGTTTCCTTAAAACATTTTAATTCTTTTACAGTTTATTAATTTCCTTTTCTGGTCTCAGGTGTGTTGCTACATTGTGGTTTTTGTGTCSGCATCAAGCTCCCTTATTACTTTTGTGTCCCTACATGGATCTTTGTTCATCTGATAGATTAGTTGCCTATACCACTTTTATAGGGCAGCTTTCATAATAGATTTCTTCTGATGATATAGCCTAGAGTGTCAGTTAATTAGGCTGTTTTCACATCCAAGTATAGTGTAGTTTCTGTATAACTTCTTCAGCTATAATCGATGTCAGTAGTGTCTGTAGGTGACTGGGTAGAGTACCTCTAAGTGTCCAGAGAGGGTGCCTTTAGTGTTTGAGGGCTGTGCATGTATGATTTTGCAGAGCCTGTAGGAGCCAACCTATTTATAGTATACTGCCTTACTGATTTTGGTGTTGCTTGGTGTGCAAGCAAGGCTGCCTGTCTGCTTCCAGGGTGCTGAAGGTAGGTTAATAAGATCACCCAGCTACTTGCTAGGGCAGCTGGAGTATGGTCAGGGCTTCCCAGATGCTTTGTGGAGATGTGGGAAGGTGAGAAGGGTCTTAAGATAGAACTGTTCAGCAGGAACCTGGGTGTGGGAGGACACAACATGGACTAGGCTCTGTCTTTCTCTGGAGCAAGCAGTAGTATGGTAATCCCTAAACAGGCTCAGAATCTGTGAGGACTGCAGGCTTCTCCAGCAGCAAATGCTTGGATGTCTGTGATATGCCTGGGGACTGCTGGGGTTCTTATTCTTTCCCTGTCAAGTAAAGCCCCTCTTGGTTAAGGGTTGATCTTAAGAGACAGGAGGGTGAGTGCCCTGTACTTAGTTTCCTTTTTTAGCTCTGTGCTCTTGGTGTCTCTGCCACATTCCTCTGCATTCTGCCTCAAACACTCCAGTGAAATAGCTGTTGTTTTTGTCTTTGTTTTGGAGGGAAGCTTGCAGCCTCTAGTTAGCCATCTTGCCCAAGGGACTCTATTAGTAATAATGCTCTGAAAACAAAATCTTATTGAGAACATATTTATATGTTGAAGGTAATAATTGTTTGTTTACTTTTCCAAAATAAAACTTAAAGAAACTCTGGGTTTATTGTTACAGAGCCTAATATAATGACTTCTGATTCATTTTTTTGCTTAAGTTTTCTGGTTAAAATTCTTCTAGTTAAAAAAAAAACAGTATAGTCAAATTAAAAGATGTTACCTTTGTTACATTTAGGAATGTGAACATTAGCATTTTCGGGGGAAGTAGATAAAGAGGATTCTCTAATTTGGGGTGAAGTGTGTGTTTCTGTTTGAGTGTACATTTACTTTCTAGTATTAGTCAGTAGCTATGTAACAGCATGGGCCTATAATTTAATCTAGTCACTTACTATTATTTTAGACTTTTTTCAAGCACTTAGCTGTCTGGTAATGTGAGCTTCATATCATTGTCATCACTCAATCAATATATTTTCACTCACAGTTTTCAAACACATACTCGTGTATTCGTCACCTACTATCATTAAGAGGAGCAGGAAGATAGAACTTATGCCTCTGGAATCAACCTTCCTTCCTTCTTTTCTTCCACCCTTCCATCCTTCTCTTTTCTTTCTTGTGCTGGGTATTTTATCAAGGGTCTGGTGCCTTCTTGGCAAGCAACTTCCACTGAACTACATCTTGGTCCTAGAGTTTTTCAATTTCAGAATTTCTAAAATCTGAATGTCTCTTAAAAATCAATTGATACATAATGTGTATCTAATATGTATACCACCATATACCTCTTGCTGCACTGTGGACCATGATTAAGTCAGTAGCATATCTTACAACTGTTGGTCTTTTTTGGTTTGGAAAAAGTTCTTCTCAGGTCTCTCAATTTCTTCTATTCTGTTCTGCTTCTGTCCTATTTTATATTTCTTAATTTTGTAGACTGTTTCAAATCATTTTATGAATACAATGTTATGGAACAATATTTGACAAATTACTGTTGAATTACTTTTAAAAGTGAAATATACATTTTATTTTTCCCTGTAGTGCTAGGGATCAAAGCCAAGGTCTTGCACATGGCTAAGACAAGTGAGCTACATTTTCAGTCCAAGTAAAATGAGTATAGTTACTGATTTAAGACATTTATGCAAAAGTGAAAAATAAAAAATAAACTTTAGCAGAAAATAAGATAGTACTTACTATTTACTTTGACATAATTGAAGCTATTTTGAAAATCTGTGTGTATGTGTATATATACATATATGTGTGTGTGTATGTATATATAGTTTGAAATATTTCCATTTTAAAGCTAAAGGGTTAGTCAGAAATTGCTTATAATCCTCTCTGTGTACTCCCAATTTAGGATGCCCAAAGAAAAATAACAAATGTCTCTGATGAAGTGTCCAGTGAGGAAGGTCCTGAAACGGGATACTCAATACGCCGTCATGTGGACAGGACTTCTGAAAACATTCTTCGGAATAGAAAGTCACACCATTATAAGAAGCATTATCCTAATGAGGTATAAAATTTGGTCTTACCAGATTTATGTGTTGCTAACTTACAACTTATTTTTATAATTGATAATTATTGTTGAAATAAGTTACCTATATTTGTTATTTTTATACAATCTTGATATATAATCAATTTAGATTTAGGTATTACACACATTGATTAACRGCTACACACTTGTATTYATTTTGTGCAATATCTCTGAAGACTCATATATTCAGGTTGTTGTTTATTTTTAAAGAAGACCATCTTGTGGAGACAATCTGTAAATTACTATGTCACTCTTTTCTTTTAGAAGGCTTTATGTATTCTTGATTATTGTAAAGTTATTTTTCTGACTTCCTTTATTCTATTTTTCCTTATTGATTTTTGTTTTTTCTCTAAAATGCTTTTCCAACTTTATCACATTTCTTGACCTTAAAACAACAAAAATAGAAAAAGAATATTATTCCATTTTATTTTTAGTTTCTGTTTTAAGGACAGAAAATTTCATTATCTGCCTTTAAAGCAAATTACTCCTTATGTTACTTTTTGGTCAACATTATCTTCTACTCTTATTGAAGTATATTAGTATTTTTTTCTTGAAGATTTTGGGTTAAACTTATTAAAAAATCAAATGATATGCTGGATTGGAATATGAATACTTTCAAAGTGTTAAGATTAGAAGAGTTACTTCTTTGCACAGTGCTTTGTGTTTATATCTCTGGTTAATCTTTCTGGTGACTATGGTTTTGTGTTTTTTTGTGGCTGACATTAGACAGACAATAATACAAACACACAAATCATCTGATGTGCTGTCTCCTTTTTCTAAACCAAGCAGTCAAACTTGTGAAATTCAGTCTTTTTACACACTTATGTTCATTGGTGCTGGAAGGCTACTTGACCCCTTTCCTATGGAAGAAATTATTTGGTTTTGGAGTTAATTTTCTCACTTTATGTTTTTTGTTCTTTTTAGTTTGTAGCTGTATTTTGAACTATTGAGATTCTTGAAGGGCAGAACCTTATTCTACAAATTTTTATTTTTGAAATTTGTGATTTTTTAAAAATACCTGCAAGGATACAGTGTCTCTTGACTCAGTCCTAGCATTCTACTTATCTTGATTTTTAAATAAATAAATTTCTTAAAACCTTTTAGATTTTAATTTAAGTATTAAGTATAGGTTAATAGTCATTGGTTGTTTTAAATCTTTTCAAATGATACAAAAGATGACATAAAACTAAAATCTGGTCTTCAGATTATTCCTCTGAATAGTAAAAATTTTAAACTAGAAGATATTGGTTGTGTTCCGTTCTAAAAATCTTTGATTCTTAAGTTAAACTAACTTTAAAGGATTTTTTTCAAAAGCAAAATAAAATCTCTTGAAAAAGTGTAGAAAAAAAGATTTGTAGGGTTGTTTGTACACTGCAAAAGAGTTGTAGTTTTGCATTTTTATTTATATTATTAACTTATAATCTCTTCAAATTATTGGTGTTATTTTTCCTCAAGAGTGAAGTACAAAAATTCCTTTGGGCAAGCCTAAAACACAGTAAACATCTCTAGCCTGTGATCACTTTTCTTTTTAAACACACACATACACACACACACACACACACACACACACACACACACAAAGACAGGTAAAATATAGGTCTCCCTGAAAAACTGACCAGTTCCTTGTTCCTATATGTTGTAGGAAATATACAAAATGACCTTGGAAACTCTTTATGTTGATAGAAAGCAAGGAAATCATCAAAGATTATTAATTAAGTTCTTTTCAGGTGGACTTGGTAGCTAAAAATAGAACAGTATTGAATTCAGTTTCTCTTTATAAAAATATCCCAACTAGTAAATGAAAAAGACATTTAAAACACATCTGGGAAGCTCTTGTTCATGGATGGGACTGGTGGACTTTACACCCAGCAATGTATCGTAAACCTCCCAATGGTGATATTTATATAGATACAGTTTTAAGGGGCATCTTGTTTTTCAGGAAGAGTCATTCAATCTTCTGGTAGGATGGGAGTCATAGATAATATACAAGGCTGCCATAGTGTTTGGCACAAGAGTGCTAGATTTGAGGTGGGGATCTTGTGATTCTTTGTGTATGCTTTTATTTACTCCTGTTTTTGCCTTTCTGTATTGTATCTAGTTGGCTTCATCTAGTTCTCCTATTGGGAAGATGGTGATGGAATTTCTTGGTTATCTGGGATGCAGGGGGTGACCTGGGGAAACGGACAGCTTCTTTTACGCATGTATTCTTTTTTTGCTACTTTACCCTGCTTTAAAATACTCTACTAGTATTTTTAAAAATTATCTCCCTATTATAGTTAGCTTTTCATCTAATGAAGGTAGCATTTGATGGGAAGCATAAAGAAGAAACCATAGGGTTAGATCATTTAAGTGGCTTTGGGAAGATATTTTAACTTCGGTCTCAGTTTCTGCATTCTTACAGTGAGAAGAAAAAACTTACTTCAACACATTGTTAGGGTTCAGTAAAATTATGCATAAATTGTCTCACACAAGGAATTTCTGTTATAAGTGATTATTCCCTTCAAGTAAATAATCGCCTCTTCTAAATTTGGTTGTATGTTTAGTTTTAACCTTCTGTCTAAAGATTTGAAATGAACAGAACAAATCATATTTGATGTGGCTAACATGAACTGTGTTTTTCAATTCTAAAATGTCTTATTTTTAGGCTTTAATCAGCAGTTTGTAATAAAATTTAAAATGGCTTTTAATTACCTAAATATGGCAGGTAAAATTCTGTTTGAAATGTAAGTGATTATAGAAAATAATTCTTAGGCTTTACATTTGTAAAATAATGCACTGAGTAGTTCTTGGCAAAATACACTTACTAAAGAATTACAAACTTGTCCTTATCCCTGAAATCAATCATTAAATCATCATCTCTTTAATTCTGCTACCAATTTCTATCTGATTAGTAAGTCTGTATCAGAAGTTAATGATAGATAATGAAATAGCTGTATTTAAAATTTTAAATTATCACTAACTGGAAGTTCAGTACTTTCTGTGTCTTGCTATTCTGTTATAATGAAAACTTCTTGGTTTCAAGTATTTTAACTGACATTAGTGAGTCTGAAATATTTTTGGAGTGTTTTTTGTAAAACAAAGCAGTCTGATTTTTGCTCTTCTGTTTTTCTTATTTAATTTTCTCTTATTTTTTTTTAAATTCTTTTTCCTGGTCATTTCTTCAAAAAATGTTTACTTTTTCCTAAATAGCTTTCCTCCCACAAACATCTGTCAATATACTAAATATAATAGATTCATGGTGTCCCATTCTAATCATTCAAGGCATTTTGTTACCTGTGGTGAGAATAGCCAAAGAAAAAAGTGTTGGTTTCTTCCAAGGATGGAGTATTTGAGAATTATGATCTATTGGAGAATATGAAATACATTTAATTAAGACAGTATTACAGACTCTGGAAAGCAGTGCAAAGGTCTACTGTCATATGAATATAAATATAACTCACTTTGAAGACAAGGTAGTATTCTAGGTAGRCAGCTTAAAATTAATATTTGTTGAACTCCTGCTTTGTGCCAACTTTGTATTAGAGCTACAGTGCTCATTTAATTTTCAACATATCTTTAAAGGAAGGCAGGATTAATGGTAAATGTTAGGGACATAGTCAGAGGCTAAACTGGCAAGAAACTGCTTTGTTTAAGAGTTAGAGAGTAGCCCAATATCACTGGAGGAAAAGGCTGTGGTCAAAAAGTAGCACCAAAGACAAGTAAGCTAGGTGGAAAGAATTTGAAATCAAAGTAGTGGGAATACTACTTGGTGTAAGGTTCTTGAAGAAGTAAAAGAGCTATACTTTAGGAAAGTTAATCTGAAAAGAAGGGGGGTGTCCATAAGGAAGAGTTTGTAATGATTAAGATGTGAATGAATGATAAAGTCTGAACTCTGATGATAACATGGGAAAAACAAAGGGATCAATATAAAACATTTTAATAGTAGGATTGACAACTTAGTGGCAGAGGACAGCTAAAAACAAGTCCAAAAATTTGAGCACAGTTGGTTATAAGGATAGCTATTACCATTCTTAACTATTTAAAATTTAAATCAAAATTTCACTCATCTTTATTTTATGTATTAAAAACTGGGATCAAGTAACTTTATTAGAAAATACCTGTATTGTTTAGCTTTTGACTTTTATGCCATGTATTATCTCAAGAACACGAATTGTCAGTTTATCTTTTTGGTTTAGATTACTTGTCAATTTTAAACTTCTGTTGAGAAGTGAAGGCAATATGAATGAAATCTACAGTTGCTAAATAAAATTGAGTAGGAAAATAGCTCCATTAAAAACACTGAAGTATGTTCCTTTTCATTGTGCAGACTCTATAATCTTGGACTATTCTCTGCCTACCTGAATTCTGAACTTTTTTAGAAATTTTTTTAAAAAATTAAAAATAGGGGCTGGGATTGTGGCTCAGCGGTAGAGCGCTTGCCTGGCATGGGCGGGACCCGGGTTCGATCCTCAGCATCACATAAAAATAAAGGCATTGTGTTGTGTCCATCTACACCTAAAAATATAATAAATATTAAAAAAATTAAAACTAAATAAGATCTAAGACAAATGAGCACAACTTTTGCATGTGAAATAACACCTGAGCTGAAATATGAAATGAAATGCATTTTGATGTGAGGGTATTTTGTTACTCCTTAAAGATTAATATATATTTTTAAGGTTTTTTCTTTCACTATCCTTTGACAGTGTGTTTGTTGTTTTAGCAAAAGTAACAATATATGGTTCTGATAGAATCCTTTGAGTTGGAAGGGGTACATAAATTGTATTAATGTCAAAGAATATCTTGATTTCAGGATGCCCCTAAATCGGGTACTAGTTGCAGCTCTCGCTGTTCAAGTTCCAGACAGGATTCTGAGAGCACAAGGCCAGAATCTGAAACAGAAGATGTGTTATGGGAAGACTTGTTACATTGTGCAGAATGCCGTTCATCTTGTACCAGTGAGACAGATGTGGAAAATCCTCAAATTAATCCATGTGTGAAAAAAGAATATAGAGACGACCCTTTTCATCAGGTTGGTTTACAGTGTTGAATTATGTGGGGGCTATCAGTTGAGCTCCTTTGAATGTATGTACAGATTTTACAAAGATAAAGAAGTAGCTTACATTCAATTAAAATAACATTCTTTTTCTTTTTGTGTGAGCTTTGGTCTGGCTTCATTAGAATAGAGAATCTCAGTAGTTTTGTTTGGTTGGGTCTCTTATCTTACACACACATATATTCCTGAGGAGTTATTGGTAAATGGAGTTTTGTAAGTCAAAATGTGTTTTAAATACACTAGACCTTTTCTCATTCAACACATTTCATGGTCAAATTCATATACACATTGGCCTGAACTCTACCTATGAGATTATGATTCACAAATTTTCATTTTATGAATATGACAKTTGTGTTATCAAGTATCTATAGTCTTGCTGTCCAGTAGAAATATAAGGTTCACATGTATAATTTAAAATTTTTCTATTAGTCTCATTAAAAATATTAAAAAGGTGAAATTAATGCCCATGTATTATCTAACTGGATATATTCGTAGTGTTATCCCTTTAACATATAACTAGTATGAAAAATAATGAAGATTTTACATTTTTGGTACTAAATCTACAAAGTTCAGAGTGAACCCTTAAAGCACATCTCATTTTGGATTAGCCATATTTCAAGTGCTGAATAGCCACATGTGAGTAGGGTACTCTATTGAATAGTGTATAGTTCTAAAGGATGTCTTCATTTAAATGTTCCATCAGTATCTTAAATTTAACCAAATTTCCCATGAAAATCTTTTTCTTTTATTGCACTCAAAATCTTGATGAGTGTCATTTCTATTCATCCACTCACCAGTACAGAAATGTGATGGTTGTTAAAAATCCTCACTCTTTCTCACCTCATCAAATCCTGTCAACTAAATCAACAAGTAACATCTTAGAAAACTAGAGGTAGAAGATAATCCCCTTAATCTGATGAAAGATAAGTATTAAAGAACCTTCTGCTATCACAGAACACCACAGACTGTGTGGCTTAAACAACATTTATTTCTTACAGTTCTGGTAGCTAGAAGTTCAAGATCAGGGTGTCAACATTGTCTTGAGTCTGGGTGAAGTCCCTTTTCCTGATTTATAGCTCATTGTAGTGTTCCTGTATCCTTTCCTAAAACAGTGAGCTAGCTCTGGTTTCTTTCTGTCTTTATAAGTACATTAATATCTTTCAAGAGGGTTCTACCCACTAGCCTAATTATTTCCCAAAGTTTCTACCTCCAAATACCATTACTTTAGGGGTTTAGACTTTACCATATGAATTTTGCCCGGAGGTAGGTGGGCAGGCAAGTTTATAGCACTTCTGAAAACCTGTCATTCTCAATGATAAAATTTTAGGAAAATATTTATTGAAGGTAGGTACCAGGCAGAGATGCCCATTATGACCACTTTTTTTGTCACAGTTCAAACAGCTTGTTTCTTCATTTTTTTTCTGTTTTTGATTGGATTTAATGCTGATTTAAAGTCCACATTAAAGAGAAAAATGTCAAGAAGAGCAAAAACTATTTTGAAGAACAGGGGACTTTTCCTGCTAGTTTTATTTTACATTTAAAACTTCAAGATAGTATGGTTTGGGCAGGGTGTGGTGGCCCCTGCCTATAATCCCAGTGACTTGGGAGGCTGAAGCAGGAGGATCGCAAGTTTGATCCAGCCTCAGCAATTTAGGTAGGCCCTCAGCAACCTAGAAAGAACCTGTCTCAAATTTAAAAGTAACATGACTGGTGATATATCTCAGTGGTAAAGTGTTCTTGCATTCTATCCCTAGTACCAAAAGAAAAAAAAATTTGGTGTGGATGTATAACAAATAGACTAATGCAAGAGAATAAAAAATCTAAAAGTAGACACAAGCTTATATGGATCCCTAATACATGACATAAATGACATTACAATTCAGTGGGGAAAAGATGGACTAGATGAAGGTAGGTCAAATGATTAGTCCATACATAAAAATTTATTCAACATAGTTCCTAAGTATGAGGAACAAAAAATTGAAACATTGACAAGAAAATGTACGTGAAAGTCTTTCTTGTCCCAGTTTAAAAGATAAGTTTTAAAATAAGATGATAAAAAGTACATACAAAAATGGGGGAATTGATAAATATAAATATCTTAAAATTTAATAATTTAGGTAAAGTACTACTGTACAGAGCACATCAAGAACTCCTACAGAGTAAGTAAGTAAAAGACAAAWGAATCAATAGAAAAATGAACAGCAACTCACCTGGATGAGTAAGAAATGTAAGTAAAAATGGTTAGTTTTGCTAGTAGTCAGGCAAATGAGATACCATTTCATATTGATCAGATTGTCAAAATCTGAAACTCTGATAAATTTTAATATTGGCAAGAATTTGAAGAAATATGAACTCTTAGTGAATGGTGATGCCAGTATAAAATTATTCAATTACTGTGAAGAACAGTTTGTCATTATATAGTAAAATTGAAGGTCTGAATACTCTAGGATCCTTTCATCTACTTCAGTGAAACTTTAGATGATGGTCAGTCACAGGGAGATATAAAAATATGTTCATTGTGTTTGATAGTAAAATATTGAATATAAAACAAGATCCAACCATAGAAAAATTAATAAACCACAGCATATGATAAAATTGTACTTAGCTATATATATCAACACAAATAAATTATGTGAATATGATTTTTCATTATTTATTCAATGAAAAAAGCAATTTGCAGAGCTATACAGCTTACTATTTATATAAAGTTTTAAAATTGCAAAATTGTATTATATGTTGTGTATGAATAAAAAGCATATGCATTAGGAATGTAAAAACATGCGAGGAAATAATAAAAACCAAATTATGGATAATAGATCTAGGGAATAAAGGAGGAGAATCTAGCAGAGAAGGATACAAAATGGTTTTTAGTTTTACCTGTAATATTTTATTTGTTGAAATGTCTGGAGCAGGTGAAGGTTAGAAAAGATAAAATATGGTAAAGCTAACATATTCTCTATCTAATTGAAACATTCAATTAACAAATACTGGTTTTGGCTTTAGATGTATAAAAAGTGACAGGGAAAGGAAGCTTCACCACAAGGACTGTGAATAAATAGGTTTTATGAAATGTGCTCATGAAAGTTTGGAGAAAACTTTCATGAGGGTTAGATGTTTTGATCTTTATTCCCTAATATGCAAGATGTTGAGCATATTTATGTACATAGGGAAGAATTGAAAGAGGTACAGAAGAAAAACTTGATTGGTGGAATGAGAGTTTCTTAGGATTCTGGAGGGGAATCAGAAAGCTTAACTTTGAGAGAGGAACATAATTTCTGCTAGGATAAGAGGAGGAAGACAAGTGCATGAAGCAGGCAAGAGCATTAGAGAGTTATTGTCTGATGATATCTATTTTGTTAGGTACAAAAGGCCAAGGAGCCTAGAGACAATGAGAAGTGAAATGATTGGGTAGGGAGCTTAAGGCTTGAAGTAATCATTTGTGGTGAGTGGAGATATGGGAATGAGAATATAATATGTATGTATTCAAGGCAATGAACACATTAAAAGAATCACACAGCCATATTTATGAGAGTTTAGCTGGAATCTGAAACATGAATTTGCAGTTTCCCAATTCAGTTATATGATGTTCTCTAGGATATCTTAACAATCATAATAACAACAAACATTTAATAAGCATTCACTATATGCCAGGCCTGTGCATTATTTCATGTAATTCTCATAGTCTGTGGCAGTGTAGTTTATTTTTCATTTTATAAATGAGAAAATTGAGGTCCTAAGTTGGGTAGTGTGCCTAAAGTCACACAGATTAGGTGCTCAATTAATAATTGCTATTCAAAAGACAGGAAAGGTGATAATTAAAATAATGGGTCTGGTGGGTGTCTAGATAAGTCAGATTGAGAAGCAAATGAAACAGGACGGAACTTACAAGTCAAAAGGTGAGTGTTTTGAAGGAAACAAATGTTTTAGAAATGAAGGTTTGAGAGGGTTGGAGCCGTAGCTCAGTGGCAGAACGCTTGCCTAGCATGTGCGAAGTACTGGGTTTGATCCTCAGCACCACATAAAAATAAATAAAGGCATTCTGTCAATTTACATTACAAAAAATTTTTTAAAAAAAGAATTTTTTTCTTGGCACTTGTATTTCATTTTTTTATTAGTTGTTCAAAACATTACAAAGCTCTTGACATTATCATATTTCATATATTTGATTCAAGCAGATTATGAACTCCYATTTTTACCCCGTGTACATATTGCAGATTCACGTCGGTTCCACATCCACTTTTTTACATACTGCCATACTAGTGTCTGTTGTATTCTGCTGCCCTTCCTATCCTCTACTATCCCCCCTCCCCTCCCCTCCCCTCCCCTCTCCTCCCATCTTCTCTCTCTACCCCATCTACTATAATTCATTTCTCTCTCTTGTTTTTTTCCCCTTTCCCCTCACTTCCTCTTATATGTACTTTTGTATAACAATGAGGGTCACCTTCCTTTACCATGCAATTTCCCTCCCCCCTCTCGACCCTGTTTAATGGTGATCTTCTTCTCATGCTCTTCCTCCCTATTCTGTTCTTAGTTGCTCTCCCTATATCAAAGATGACATTTGGCATTTGTTTTTTAGGGATTGGCTAGCTTCATTTAGCATAATCTGCTCTAGTGCCATCCATTCCCCCCCCCCCCCCCCCGCAAAAAAAAAGAAGGTTTGAGAGACCTGGAAGGATGGGAGATTGTGGTCAGTGACTCATTTCAGAAGTATTAGCAATTCAGTATGGTGCCAAGATTCAGGGTTTGGCCATAGGGAATAGCTGAAGGGTCTCTGGGTTTAAAAAAAATGTGAAAATAATGAACAGTTCATGAGAATATAGGGTATTGGATGAGTCATCTCAGTACTCACCTAAATCTCCAAGATTAATAACTGGAATTAAGATGAAGGAAGTTGTTTTCCCAGAGATACCATAGGAACATTTGAAGTGGGTATCATATGTATTTTGCCTTATTATTTTATCACTCATTACTTGGTA